GCACCCACATGGGAGACCTGGAAGAAGCCCCTGGATCCTGGCTTCGGTTTGGTGCAGCTCCAGCCGCTGCAGTCATTTGGAGAGTGAACCACTGGATGGAAGACTTTTCTCTCTGCCTCTCCTTTTTTCTCCCTCTCTCTCTGCCTCCTCTCTGTAATTCTACTTTTCAAATAAATAAATAAATAAATAATTTTAAAAACCAGCACTTACAGCTGCTTTATTTATAAGTAAAATACTCAAAGGTCTGTTAACTAAGCCATGAGGCATTCACACAACAGCACGGTGCAGCCGTGAGAAGGCCGCAGAGAGGCACAGGTATCCCTTTCCACCTAACTCATCCCCTCACTCAGAAACCAAACAGATGCAGATAGCAAGGGACACCTGTATTCAATGACATGGAAAGATGTGCATGATATATCAGGTGGGAAGAAAAGGCTACAAAACAACGTACACTGTATTTTTGCTGAAAGCAGCATTTACATTTTTTGCATATACACATAAAAATAAGGCTTCCTGTGGTGTCTGATGTTCTTGACTTTTCATGATTGTCACAAACAAGAAAAACTCTCTGAAGAATGCACACACAGATCGCCTTTCAAAGACACGAAGCCCTGGCTCTACTGAAGACTGAGTGGGACTGCGGCTGCACAAGCCAGCAGGCAGGACAAAGGAAAGGGTGCGTGAGATGACCAAGAGCCCCGATGGAAGTCCCACGGCCAACAGCTACTCCCAGCCTGAAATAAACGCCCCCTCCTGCCAGGCCCCGCCTCCACCATCCTCCTCCTCACTCTCACCTTCACTCTGACTCCCCACACGGACTGGCTGCCATCATGCCCCCTGTCTGACACAATTCAAGGCTCCACTCCTCAGAAAGCAGTCTGACTGCTCCAGCCAACAGGCATGTCTCCCCCTCCCCGCACAGAGGCATGCTTTCCCACTCAGAGACCTGCTACCGCGTCCCTCCAAGTCTGCTGCTGGTCAACACCCGAGTGCCTGTGAGACCAGTGTCTGCGTGCCCACGTGTATAAAGGCTCCTGAGCCTAACCTGGGCGCACAGAGAAAGCGGCAGTGGGAAGCAGCGCTCACATACCTGCGCTGTACTCCTGAGATAAGGAAAGTAAGCAAGGCGGGCGGCCTGGGCCGGCTCCCTCACCACCATGCCCCGCCCCCTCTCTGTCCTTCTCTACTGTAAAAGCTGTAAAGCTAAAACCCTTCCTATTCTAGGCTTCCTTAAGGTAAGAGTGGCCCCTGACATTCTGGCCAAAGAGCCAAAAGCCTATGTGTAGGGATTTTCTTCTTTTGCTTTCCAGCTTCTTGGAACAAGAATACAACGCCTGGAGGTGCAACCAAAAGAATCAAAGCGGGGTCAGTGTTGTGCAGGGGGCTAAGCCTCCACCTGCAACGCCAGCATCCCACGCGGGGGCCGATTCAAGTCCCGGCTGCTCCCCTTCCGATCCGCTCCCTCTCATGTGCCTAGGAGAGCAGAAGATGGCTCGAGTGCTTGGGCCTCTGTCACCCCCACGGGAGACACAGATGGAGGTCCAGCTCCTGGCTTTGGCCTGGTCAGGCCCCAGCTATTGTGGCTATTTGGGGAGTGAACCAGCGGATGGAAGACCTGTCTCCCCTCTCTCTGTAACTCTGCCTTTCCAATGCTTTTAAGTCCTGGCAGCTGCAGGCGTCCTTGTTCTAGTTACCCTGGAGCCTACACAGTGGTTGACTGTCTTTCCTCCCCGACTTACACAGGGACGGCACACACTCTTCATTCATCACTCCCTAACAAAGCAGCGAGTAACTACTTGTCATGCCTCTCGGCCTGGCAGGCGTCAGAACGCGGCGGCCCTGAGTCCCGGTGACTGCGAAGCAAGGGCCCCTCTGGGCACACGTCGGAGGGGCCACTCCATCGGGTCTCCACAACACAGCAAGGGTTTCTGTTCAGACACTGAACAAACAAAATACTCTGTACCCAAGGTGCTCCTTTCTTTAAAAGTCCCTTCTTTTTTGGAAATTTTTTTCCCATTTAAGAAATGACTAAGGCAATTTTTCATAAACCTCTCACAACACACTCTATGAAGAAAACCATGGTATTGATCCCAATACAAATTTGTTTTAAAGGCATTTATGTTTACAAGCATCCCATGATTCCATTCAGCATGGCTGTAAAGACTTGGGCAACTCTTGATTTAGGTTACCTATGCATGCACTCTCAAAGTCATATACAGGGCAGTGGTAGCACAGCAAGTCAGGCCTCTGCTCGGGACACACGATTCCATACGGATGCCTGGTTCCAGTCCTGGCTCCTCATGTCTCAGACACAGCCTGCTAAGGTACCGCAGAGCCAGCAGTTGAGTCCTGCCACCCATGCGTGATACCCCAGACGGAGCTCCTGGCTCTGGCCCAGCCCAACTCCGGGTGTTGCAGACACCTGGGGGGATGAACTAGTGGATGGAAATTATCTCTGTCACCCTCCCTTTCAAATAAGTAAACAAATTTTTAAAGGGGGGGGGGGAGGCAGCGCTGTGGTGTAGCAGGTACAGCTGCCGCCTGCAGTGCTGGCACATCCCACATGGGCGCCAGTTCAAGTCCTGGCTGTTCCGCTTCTGATCCAGCTCTCTGCTATGGCCTGGGAAAGCAGTAGAGGATGGCCAAGTCCTTGGGCCCTGCACCTGCTTGGGAGACCCAGAAGAAGCTCCTGGTTCCTGGCTTCAGATAGGCGCAGCTCTGGCCTTTGCAGCCATCCAGCAAGTGAACCAGCAGACAGAAGACTGACCTCTCTCTCTCTCTGCCTCTTAAATAAATACATAAAATTCTTTTTAAAAAAAGAAAAAAAGCCAGCACTGTGGTACAGCACAGTAAGCTGCCACTCACGATGCCCGCAGGCCACAGTGCAGTGCTGGTTCGAGTCCTGGCTACTCTGTTTCCAATCCAGAGGAGACAGTGAGGTACCCCTGCCACCCACGTGGGAGACCAGAAGGGAGTTCCTGGCTGCTGGCTTCAGCTTGGCCCAGATGCTGGGTGCTGCAATCATTTGGGGAGTGAACCAGCAGATCAAAGATCTCTTTCTCCCTCTCACGCTTTCAAATAAATAAACCTTAAAAAAAAAAAAAAAAAAAGTTAGGTACAGATGCCCATGCCAGCTTATTTTTCCTTAGAGATACTTAACTTTCACAGAATTAGTCACTACCTTCCTATGCACTTAATAGTTGTTTTTCATCCCCTGCACTTGGCAAATACAGGCCACTCATCAAGTAGGTGCACCGCCACAAGAGCTCCATGGAAATTATCTACTTATACCCTCACACACACTCTTCTCATATGGGGAAAGGAAATAAAAGGTCTTTCTTGTTTACCATCAATTTCATTGTTCCTTTTTCAGAACTAATGTAAACTCCTCACCATTGAAGGAATAAAATAAATGTAGAACTCACATGGCGCCGAAGACCAAGCTCTCTTAACAGGCATGGCTGGCAAACCACCGCAACTAACATGCACGGTGCAGCAGACCGCTCTTGCTTTAAATGGCAACCTAACTCTACGACAGACATCAGGTACGCCAAGATACCTAAATCTCGCAAAAAACCTGCACACGGCAGCTATTTATTCACAATCTACAGGAAAATTACAAGAACAATCCTCTTATTTGATGCAAGAAAGAAAACAAACCAAAACCTCGAGACTGCAGGGACGCTCCCTCCAAGGCCCCTGCAGGAGATCTGGCGCCTGTCTTTCACGCAGTTCTCACAGGGAAGCTCCCAAAGAGTAACCTTCACTCTGAGACAGTCTTCCCCTCACTGCCCTGAGTGAGAGTTTCTCAACCATCACTAAACTCAACTCGCATCCGGCGGCCCGGAGGGCGGCCAAGGTCAGCTTCCTGAGACCAGGGTGACAGGTGCACGTAGGTGTCTGCTGCAAGGGGGGGCGGGTCCTGGAGAGCCAGGCAGATCACGGGGCGCTGCTGTCAATTCCAAACCAAGAACAGCATGAGGAAAGCTTGCGGGCACCGACCATGTGACAGCGCGAGACACACGAACTGCTGTGGAGTGACATCAGTCAGGCTTTCAAAGAACAAAACAAGGGTGGGCGCTGTGGCATAGCGGGTAAAAATAAGCCGGCATCTCATATGGGCACCAGTTCGTGTCCCAGCTGCTCCGCTTCCCATCCAGCTCTCTGCTATGGCCTGGAAAGCAGTAGAAGATGGCCCAAGTCCTTGGACCCCTGCGCCTACGTGGGAGACCCAGAAGAAGCTCCTGGCTCCTGGCTTCGGATTGGCCCAGTTCCGGCCATTGTGGCCAATTGGGGAGTGAACCAATGCATGGAAGACTTCTCTCTCTCTCTCTCTCTCTCTGCCTCTGCCTCTCAAATAAATAAATAAATCATTAAAAAAAAAATTCCAGAAGATCCCACTACCATGCAAAGATAAACGCTAAACATGAAAAAACAAAACCACACGATACCAAACCTAAGGACAGGTGGCTGGCACAGCAGGTGCGATTTTGCCTGGGTGTGAGTCCTGCTCGCTCCTGGCTCCAGCTCCCTGCCAATGTGCACCCCAGGAGGCAGCAGGAGACGGCTCAAGTAGTTGGGTCCCTGCCACCCATGTGGAAGGGCTGGACTGAGTTCCCGGCTCCTGGCCCAGCCCTGGCTGTTGCAGATCTGGCGAATGAACCAGCAGATGGGAGACCGCGCTGTCTCTCTTCATCTCTCTGCCTTTCAAATGAACAAAACTTTAAAAAGCAAAACAAAACCAAAAATTGCAACAGTAGTTTCTTCAGGGAAAATACTTACTGCTTAATCAATGCAGATTTTTGAATGAGAAGTCACGGGCTTTCTTCTTCCTCCAACAAAAACCACCCCACGAGGAGCTTTTTAAATAGAGATAAATGCGGGTGTACCTCTCACAACAGAGTGGACGTAGATTCGAAACCTTGTCAGCTCGGCTTGACAAAGGCATTGTAGTTATCAAAAACTAAACAAATTCCAAAAGAAAGTGTAAGCGACATTACCATACTTGGCGCCTCCAAGTCTGGGTACATTGAAGAACTTCTTCTGTGAGCTGTCACCTAACGTTTCAATAAGGTGCTCAAAGGCAGATCCTGCAGGGAGAAAAATCACGTGTTCATTAAACGGCTTCGCACTACACACGGCTACCGCCTATTTTATTCAAAGTAAAAACAGCGCGATCCCAGAGAATTTTCTGCAATGTTTGCGCTGTCCAGTGAGGCAGCCACTGGCCACGTGTGGCTACTGAGCGCTGGCCGTGTGGCGGCGGAGACTTAATCCCAATTCAGCCGACAGGTCGCCACGGCCCACCCTATGGGACAGTCCCAGCAGATCACTCGCTTCTGCAAAGCCCTGGAAAAGGACACGACGCCTAAGCGAGTTGGGGAGAGACGGGTCTTGCAAGTTCCCTAAGCACAGGCAGAATAACGAGAAAACTTCACCGTCACATTAGAAATTAAAAAAAAAAAAAAAAAAAACTCCGAAAGTCAAAAGACAGTTACAGAGCACTCAGACACAACGCAAACTTCTCGGGTAAGACCTTATGAGGCCCGAAGACAAAAGGCAACACAACACCTAGCTAGGCAAGCGGGCACGGTCCCCGCGGGGCCGGGGGCCGGGCTGGGGGTGGGAGGCGGCCTCCTCGGAACGCGCCCCAGCTTCTAAGCGCTCTTGGGGGGCCGTGGCAGGGAGGCTGAGGCTGCAAAGCACCCCCAGACCTTTTGTGCAGGCTCCCGGCGGTGGGTGGGCGCGACCCCCGGGACGGCCGGGGCCGCCGTCCAAAACGAGAAGCGACCGGTCCAGGCCACTTTCAGAATGAGTAGCCTCTCCTCTGTTTTTTTTTCCGGCTATTTTTTTTTGGGGGGGGGGGTCTTGCGAGGGTGGGCGGGGGACGAGACCTCGGGGAGACCTCGGCCTTGACCGGCCCTCGCTGCGCTCCCCAGGCACACGGGGGAGGGGCGGCTCAAGTGCGCCAGCGGAACCAACGGGGAAGCCGCAGGAGACCCCGGCCCCGGCGCCCACCCTCCCCGCTCGCCATGGGGGGGGGGGGGCAGACGGCGGGCTGCTCCCCGCTCCAGGGGTCACTGCCCGGCGCCGGGAGCTGCGAGTCCAGGCCGGCGGCCTCAAGGGCGGCCCTGCCTGGCAGCAGCAGGGCGTGAGGGGCGAGCAGGCCCGGCGGCCGCGGCCTCGACACCCAGCGGCCTTGAGGGCAGCACCACCCGAGCCCCGCGCGCCTCGGACGCCGGCCGAGCCACCACAGTGGGCGACAGGAGCGAGGGGGCCCGGCGCCCGCGCAGCGCGCGTCTGCAGCAGCCAGACCCGAGTGCGGCGGCCCGCAACTGACCTGCGCTTGGGGCATCCATCGCCGGAGACCATATTCTCCCCGCGGGGAGGGGGCCGGCGGGGTAAGGTTGGGGGGGAAGGCCGGGCGGGGAGGAGGGGGAGGAAGACAGGCGGACTTGGTGAGGGAGGAAGGAAGGAAGCAGTCTCGCGCGCAAACACCGCGAGAGCCGCGGAGACAGCCCCGGGTCTGCGCTCGCGGGATTTGGCGCCGAACTCCCGCGAGATCTTCCGACGGGGAAACAAAGAAAGAGAAGGGGGCGGGGCTACGCGCAAGGCGATTCGGGGCGCAGCCGCGGCTGTTCTCGCGAGCGTAGGCGGGGCGCGGGGGTGAGGCTGCGGCGTTGGCGTCACTAGCGTGGCCTCGTAGCGACCCGTTACCGGGCCGTAGCTCGCAGTGTCCATTTTGGGGGTTCCGAGGTGGGGCTGCGGGGGCGGGTTCCTGCTGGGGGGTCTTCGGGAACAGGGGTGGGGAGCAGATTCGGGGAGGGGTCGCGGGAAACCGCTCAAGAAGCGGGTTCTGCGAACGTTAAGGCGTCCGTGACGTTAGCGCGTCTGACGCGGGCAGCCCCCACGCGCGTCCTCGAGAGCGCGGGGCCGGGCCGCTGGCGGGCGGTTGCTGAGGCAGGAGATGTTCCGTACGAAAGCGTGCTGACGTGTCTCCTCCGCCCCGGGCCCCGCCGCGGGGCGCCTTATCGCCCACGCGGCTTCCGCGCCCACTCGTGCCCGGGGCCGAGGTCGGCCGTGGCTGCCCGCTGACCTCGCGTCCCGCAGTCCGACTCGCGCGCCGCAGCGTGCCCCAGCGCCTGGGGTCCCAGAGCCTGCATTTTCCTTCCCTTCCTACCCCTCCGGTTGCGCTCCTCCGCCCCCTCCTCCCACCGGGCAGCAGGTGCACCCCAGGTCTCCCCGAGTTCTCCCCGCCCCTCTCAGCCTCTCTCTTGGCTCCGCCTGGGATCCAGCCCACCTCCTAAGCCGGGAGGTGGGCATCCTGGTACCTGCTGGGCCAGCACCCCAAAACCCAACTCAAGGTTTTCCCCTTAAAGCCATGGCTGCCTCTGCATCTGGGCCGTCAGTAGTGCGTGCACTCGCCCAGGCCGCGAGCCGGCACGTTCTGTCCATGGCGCCTTCAGCCGTTGACCCAAACCCTGTCCACGCAAGCCCCGATTCCCACGCCGTACCCGCCTTCCTAGCTGTAGATACCCGTTAAGGCTTGCAGGTCTAGATGGCTGGGGCCTTTTTCTCAGAAAGGCCCGAGCACCTGCCGCAAGCCCCATTTTCACCGCCAGGGAACTGAACCTGCATCGGGGGCTTAAGTAACTTACCCAGCGTTCCCCAGCTCCCAGAGGGCTGACTCGGGATTTGAACTCCCTTCGGACGGGTGCACACGCACACGTGTCCGACTTGGGCCCTCACGCGTGCTGTTCTACCCTTTTGCTCAGACCTTTTAGGCAGACTGTCCTGTCCGTCACCGCTGGAGTATCGCCGTCGCTCTGTGTTTCCCCGTCGGGCTAACACCTGCTCCTCCTCCTTCGGGCCTCTGTCCATTTGTTGTCACTTCCTACCGGGAGTCTTCTCTGATTGCCTCCCCGTCTGGGTTGGGACCATGAAGAAATGGCCTCCCTCACATCCTGTATTTCAGTTAAGACACTTCTACACATGAGTGTGATTGTCCACGGGCTGTATTTCTCATGTCTCAGATGCTTTCAAATGCATGCAAGAGAACACCCCGCTAACCACGGCTTAAACACCCCAGACCTGTAATTATCTCACCTCACGATGTCCGCAGTAGGCGGTCCCCGAGTTGGCACAAAGAAGCAACGGCGCCATCAAAGACCCAGGCCCGCTACTTTGGCCCTGCACTTCTCAGCACCGGGCTTTGCTCCTGGGGACCGCAGCATGACGTCATCGCAGCTACACCTTCAAGAGCAGGAGGGAAAGGGACCCAGAGCGCTTCTCCCTTTTTATCAGAAAAGAGAATATTTTCCCGAAGACCCTCAGTAGGCCTCTCATGGACCAGAAATTAAACCAGGAGTTCTACACCCTATCCAACCAACACCACTTTGTGTTTTTTTTTTTTTTACTTGAAAGGCAAAGTTGGAGAGAGAGAGAGAGAGAGATCTTCCACCTGCTGGTTCACCTCCCCCAACCACCAATGGCCGCAAGGACCGATGCTGGGCCAGGCCGAAGCCAGGAGCCTGGAGCTCCATCCGGGTCTCCCACGCGGGTGCAGGGCCCACCAGGCACTTGGGCCATCCTCCACGGCTCTCCCAGGCTGCAGGCGGAGAGCCGGATCGGAAGAGGAGCCTGGGCTGCAGGCAACACAGCCTGATGTCAAAGCAAGGGACCTGACGTTGAAGCGGTCCTTCCGCCGGTTTCCGATTCGGGCGGTTTCACAGTTTCCTTTCTAGGGTGTGTGCTTACACGTGTAGATCCGTGTGACCCCCCCACTACAGTCAGAATGCAGAGCGCGTCCGACGGTCCTCAGACTGCCCTCCCATAACCGCAGCAGCTCTCCTGCTAAGCTGCCCCTTCCTCATCCCTGTCCCCGGAGTGACTAATCCGTTCTCCCGTTTACGGTACACGGGAACCAAACCGCTGTGTTTCCACGGTACATTTTCAAGTCACATCTCCAGTGGTAATTTTAGTGCCTATTCAGATCAGCATCCTGGACAGTGTCCAAGCTGGTTCGTCTCCATTCTTTTTTCTAATTAAATTTTTTATTTTGGAAAAAAATATAGAAAGAGTACCAGATAATTACCATTAACATTTTGTTATAATTGCTTTATCTTCTATATTACATATGGCACAATAAGATTCTCATTATTTCTTATCCTAATTCCATTTCCGATCCAGCTCTCTGCTGTGGCCTGGGAAAGCGGTGGAAGATGGCCCAAGTGCTTGGGCCCCTGCACCTGCATGGGAGACCCAGAAGAAGCTCCTGGCTCCTGGCTTCAGATTGGAGCAGCTCCGGCCATCGCAGCATCTGGGGAGTGAACCAGCAGATGGAAGATCTCTCTGCCTCTCCCTCTCTGTCTGTAGCTCTGCCTCTCCAATAAATAAATAAATCTTTTTAGATTAAAAAAAATTTCATCTGATGGAAGCTTGGCTCCTGCTGAGCAATGACTTGAACAATTTGGTCCAGGCCCGTGTGAGCATTCTCTGCTAGCGAGGAGGGTGGGGCCTGCCCTCGGGGAGCCCATAAATAGAGAATGTGGTAATGAAAATAATGACGGCTAACACCTATTAAACCTTGTTGAGTGCTTCTTGCATTATCTCGTTTCAATCTGCGAACGCTCCTGGAAGGCCTGGTTTCCGTGAGGATGCTTCAGCTACCAGCCAAGAAGCATCCAACCCGAACCAGCTTGAATCTAAGCCACTGCTTGTCCCCACAGACACACTCACGTTATCCCAGGACCAGGCAGCCCGGTGCAGGGGCGTCGGCCCGGCTCCCTTCCAGCATCACGGACAGGTGCACTGAGCAAGCCCCGAGGGCACCCCTGCCGAGCGAGCTGATCTCAGCCAGGCCCTGCGACACGGGCTGGGGACGCAGGAGCCATAGGGATGGCTGTGGGCTCGCCCCTAAGTCTGGGGCAGGGACGCTGAGAAGTAAACAGACCACAATGATGTGTCTGAAGTGGGAGATGATGTGGGGTGGGGAGGGGACAGGGTTTGAACTCAGAGCCTTTGTGCTCGGGATCTTTGCGGACGTTTGATATCCATTTCTTGCTCCTCCTGCAACTCTGAATGTCCTTTGAAGTTCCCTCCTGCCATCCTGTCACTGGTCCACTGTGGGCAGCCACAGGTAGTCACTCCCTTTGTTTACACTTAAACATATGAATGGAGACTTCCCGGGCACAGACAATTGGGCTAGGGAGATTCTGGGAAGAGGCAGGAAGAACCTAAACCTCTCACGAGAGATAATATAGATAATCAGTCACACCTGTAACCTGCATTTATCACCTCAGTGTTTTATTGTACCCTTGTAATCAATAATTAAGAACCTTATTGGGAACTCTTTGTAACCTTAAGAGCCTTTTTGATATGTAAATCTTTTGTGCTCCTTCTTGTAAACAACTGGTCATGTTTAAATACTACTGGATTTATTCAATAAACGAGCCTTGATCAGGACTTGTCTTGGCTCCATTCTTTGCGTCCTTGTCCCCGCATTCCCACTCTCAGTTTCAGGAAGACCCAGTTCATTGTGCCGCAGGCCGGCACAGTCCACCGTTGGACCCACTTCTGAGCTCAGGAATCAGGGATATAATTAAAGCAGAAGCAACAAATCACAAGACTTCCTGGGGCTTCTAAGAGAAGGAAACTTTCTTAAAAAAAAAAAAAAAGATTATATATTTACTTGAAAGAGTTAACTCAGAGAGAAGAGAGGGAGAGAGAGAGAGAGAGAGAGAGAGAGAGAGAGAGGTCTTCCATCTGCTGGTTCACTCCCCAGATGGCTGCAATGGCTGGAGCTGCACTAATCCAAAGCCAGGAGCCAGGAGCTTCTTCCAGGTCTCCCATGCAGGTGCAGGGGCCCAAGGACTTGGGTCATCTTCTTCTGCTTTCCCAGGCCAGAGCAGAGAGCTGGTTCCAAAATGGAGCAGCCGGGACTCGAACTGGCGCCCACACAGGATGCCGGCACTGCAGGCAGCGGCTTGTACCCGCTGTACCACAGCACCAGCCCCTACAAGAACTTCTTCTGGAGCTCCTTTCAGTGTTGCGAGCCAACACTCCTGCCTTTCTGTGTCAAATAAAATTTATAGAAGGTCAGTGGTTTGGAGCAGGCTCCTGCAACAGGCCCAACAGACCACACCAAAATGCAGTTACTTATGTTGAAGGTCTAAGTGGTTTATCTGGCCTTCAAAACAAACAAACAAAAAGAGACAGCAAGAGCTAACAGCCAGCTCTCCGGTTGGTCGGGCGTGTCTTAGCAGGCACGGGAAGGAAATCCTCCGTCCTTTATCTGAACAAGGAGAGCGGCTGGGAAAGGACCGCGCTCCTCTCTGCTCAGAATCTGCCTTCTCCCACCCTGTGTGTCTCTGAAGCCCACGCCCTGCTCAGCTCGTTCTGGGTTCCAGTGCGAGGTGCCGCCCAACTCCAGAGTCGCAGATGAGAGTCGGGTGGGTCTCTGAACTGCCTCCGATCACCAGTTCCTCTTTGGCAGTTCGTCTTTGGCTCTAGCTGGTAGAGCCGTCTCGCAGCTGTGCAGTGTTGGGCACGATCCGTAGACTCTCCGCGCGGCAGCTTCTTCGACTGTAATGCGAGCGTGAGAACGCAGACTCCTTGGATGTTTGTGCCACTCGAATGCACGCGAGGGGTTGTGTTCGTTGCCAGCTGCGGCTGTTAGCAAGTGATCGCTTAAAACCACATGTGTTTCTTGTCTGTCCCAGGTCTGGGTCTGGGTCTGGGTCTGAAACGGGTCTCCATGGACTGAAGTTGAGGGGCCACTGGGCAACGCTCCTCTCCGGAAGGCCTCTGGGAAACTCAGCGCCCCAGCTCTTCCAGCTTCTGGCCGCATCTCGCTCCCCGGCGCCCTTCCGTCTTGGAAGCCAGCAGGGCTCTCGCTGAGACCTTGGCCTGTGCCGTTGTGCCTTCCTCTCACTCTCCTCCTCCCTCTGCCACTGCCAAGGAGACACGTGGGATGGCCCGAGCCCCTTGCATGGAGACATGCGGGATGGCCTGAGACCCCTGCAAGGAGACACATGGGATGGCCCAGACCCCCTGCATGGAGACGCATGGGATGGCCCAGACCCCCTGCATGGAGACACGCGGGATGGCCCAGACCCCCTGCAAGGAGACGCATGGGATGGCCCAGACCCCCTGCATGGAGACACATGGGATGGCCCGAGCCCCCTGCAAGGAGACGCACGGGATGGCCTGAGCCCCCTGCAAGGAGACACGCGGGATGGCCCGAGACCCCTACAAGGAGACGCGTGGGATGGCCCGAGACCCCTGCATGGAGACGCATGGGATGGCCTGAGACCCCCTGCATGGAGATGCACGGGATGGCCCAGACCCCCTGCATGGAAACACGCGGGATGGCCTGAGTCCCCTGCAAGGAGACGCATGGGATAGCCTGAGTCCCCCTGCATGGAGACGCACGGGATAGCCCGAGCCCCTCTGCATAGTCTGGGGGAATCTCCAGTCAGAAGAAAAGCAAACTGAACCCCACTGCAGCCTTGCTAGGGAACATGACAGTCACAGCTTCCGGGGGTCCGGCTGTGGGTGTCTTCTGAGGGCTGGGGGTGAGGGGATGAGTCTGCCTACCCTGGGGTTCTATCCCGGTCTGCATATACATCCAGCACTCAGTAAATCATTGTCCTAGCCTTTGAAGCACAGGTGAAGAGCATGTAACCCCACTGGGTGGGAATCAAAGCAAAAATTCTTAGGAAAAAAACAATGTCTGGGCTGAATCTATTTTAAAGGAATGTCTTCCATTTATGGATGTCTCCGACATTGTCCAGATGGCATGCATAAGCTATGTGCTGTCTTCATCATAACCTTGAAGGTAAATATTCTTAGTAGCCTCATTGCACAGAAAAGAAAACTGAAGCTCGGGGCCATGGAAAAATATAACCCTTCACGAGCACGCATTGGTCTGTCGGTGGGACTGGGAGAGGGCAGTCCGTGCTGATGGGAACCCAGCAAGAGGAAAGGGCCGGCCCTTGGAGTACCTGCAGGGAAGGGAGCCTCAGGGCGTGCCTTGCCCTGCGGTTTCCTGGATGGCCAGAGGACAGTGCTGGGTGCCAGGAGGGACACCTCGGGGGAGAGGAACCTGAAAAGAATCTGAGGTGATGCAGACCCCGTGTCCAGTTTAGTTTACGGATTTCATAAACACTGGAAATGTCGGAGCACCCAGAGAACACGAGAGCCGATGTAACAGCTCTGTACACAGCCTAGGTCCTGCTTGGAACAGGAAACCAGATTCCAGGCCAGGCGTGCGCACCCCTTCTGGGGCTCTGACCCTCTTAGAGCCCGGTCCCGGCTCACTGCTCCCAGGGCTCTTAGGTACAGAATGGTTTGTGCTGGGAAAAGAACCAGGCAAGTGCCGGAGCTACTGCTCAGGCTGCTGTTAGGCAGAGTGGCCTCTGGGGGGCAGCAGCGGGAGGCTCTGTACAGGCTGAGCGTTACACAGACCCTAAAGGTAAGCCCTTAATGAAACGCAAAGGGAACAATAAGCGAATGATTCTCCCAGCTGCATCTTCCAGCCGGCCACAACGGTGAATTTTTAACACGACATTTGAGACCCCCCAAATGGCCCTTTCCAAGGCGCCAGCCCCCCAGGCTCGATTGCACGCGAGGCTGCAGGTACCGGAAGCACTGTGGGACTCTCAGGGGAGCCTCCTGAGCTGGGCTGCCCTGGAAGAGAGACAGGCTGGCGGTGAGCACCTGCTTGCGAGAAGGCTCATCCCCTGCCCAGAAGGTTCAAGCCCTGGTGCGCTGGGCGTGTGTCCTGCAAACTCCCACTCTTCCCCACTGATAAAATACCTAATCCTGGTCTGAGCCCACATCCCCTAACTAGTCTCCTGGCTAGAGTCAACCCAGCCAGCACAGGGATTGCACTGCGGTGGGAGCCAGCTTGGGCCGGCCTCTGCTGGACTTCCACCGCGTCCTCGCCAGGGTCTGCGAGACCCCCGTCCACCCCTGAGCACCATGCACAGTACCTTCTCTGGGCCTGGGTGCTGGCAGGTCTCAGCCTGGGACACTGCTCCCCGCCGTCCACACACCCATCCCTTCCCATTCTTGGGCTCCCTGCTCTGCTTTTCCTTGTTTGGTGAGGGCATTCCTGAATGCCTACCTTCAAGGCAAGCCTCAGCACTGGCTAGGTACACATTCATTATTCTTATTTCATGGCACTTCCCAGCTTCTACCATGCGATACATTTTTCTTTGGTTGGTTTTATTTCAGAAGGAGACAGAGAAAGAGAGAGAGAGAGAGAGAGAGAGAGAGAGAGAGAGAGAGAGAGAGAGAGAGAGGCACAGAGCTCTTATCTACAGGTTCACTCCCCAAATGCCCACAATGTATGGCTAGGGCTAGAAGCCAAGAACTCCATCCAGGTCTCCCATGTGGATGGCAGGGACCCAACTACTTGAGCCACCTCTGCTGCCTCCCAGGGTCTACACTGCCAGGAAGCTGGAACTGGGGACCAGAACCTGGAATGCAGTGGGATGTGGGTGTCGAAACTGGCATCTTAGCTTCCAGGCCAAACACCTGCCAGGAGCATGCTGGGCATTCCGCTGCTTTGCTGTCCGTCTCCCGCCAGGCTCCACGGGGG